ATTGACCATCTTTATGGTTAACACGGTAAATGAACCTACCAATGTCAATAATGATATAATGATAATAAAGCGTCGAAAATATAAGATCGATTCTGCTTCAGTTCTTCGCGGTCTTTTTATTAAGTCGTGCCACATGTTATTATTCTTAATTTACTTTTTTTTTTTTTAATAATATTACAAATAAAACTTTTTCTTTAATTTATAGATTACAGAAAATAAATAAATAATAATAAATAAATAAATAAATCAGAAAAAACTCCATTTAAATAAAAATTTCAAAGGGAAGAATTATTGTTTAAGTAAAACAACCAAATCAAGAAAAATATTTTACTTTATTTTTCTTCCATACAATAGTTATTAATCTTAGTTAAGATGGAAAATAAAAGAAATTGTAATAAAGCCAAAACTGGACAAAGTCCACCTACTCCTGCTCCAGCAAAAAAATATTTTTTGGTATTAGTATTACAAAAGTCAGGCGACACGTTTTCTAATACCAAAAATACCAAAACTAAAAATCGATGCAGCTGTCCATTTGGGTTTTGGTGTAGATTTCAACATGACTTGCGTGTTATATTACAATACCAATGGAAGTAAGCAGAGTTTTTTTGTTGAAATAATTTATTAATTTCCTCAATTGCTTCCTTTCTTTTGCTGTTTAGATAACTTATAGTTGTTTTATTCTTATTTCATATTATCTATGAATATTAATTAATATATGACTCAAAATATTCAAAAGCAAAAATAGACAAATGTGATCAATACATTACCCAAACGAAAAAGACTAGTGATGTCAATTTTCCTTTCATTGGTACATTCTCACCAAATGGTAGCTTAAATTTGTCCAAACGTGATGATGATGAAAAAGGGCTACCAAGATTTATTTTTCTTTACATGAGTATCATAGATCCGACTGCTATTGTCCTGAACGAGACCTCACAGAAAACTACAATTAGAATGACTGCATATGATTCAGGTAAGTTTTTCATAAAGTTAATGGATAATTTTTTTTATATTTATATAATAATATGGCAGTGGATAAATAGAAAATGAACAGGACGATGCTCAAAGTAGAGAATCTTCCGATACATTCATTGGTAAGAAAAAGCAAATTTAATAATACCGTTTATCAAAAGTTTGATCATTATTTAACTAAAACTGCGCATTTTAGAAATTTAATTTTTTACCTGTGATTTGTAGCATCACTTTTCAGCATGAATAAGTATGCTTTATCGAAAAATTATGTATGTATTACTGAGATCATATTTTAGAAAGAGGATGAATTTCCAAATTGTTAGAAAATTATTATTAAAAAATCAATAGATATACAGGCTGGGATTCTCAAGAAAGATCAGAAAAACACAGATCCAAACGGCTTTCACTTATATTGGATTCTTGTCATCCTACAATCTACAATCTTACATTGAATCAAATATACATAAGAATATTTGTTTTAAAAACCATAGTGTGCATCTTAACCTGTTTAAATGCTGATGTTATTTGTATTATTGATTAATAACCACAGAGGCTATTCCTATAAACTCTCCCAGTATGTATTATGTGACTGTAAAAATCGGCCCACAGAACTTCTACAAAACTGTAGAATAAGAACAGAAGTAAAAATTATCCATGATTTGATTTTGATGGTTTAAAACAATCAATTATTACGCCTTGAGTTGAATCCATTTTGCTGATGTTTTATTAACACAATTTTACAAATAATAACAATAGAACCACTACTGTGAGCAATAATAACAATATATTTCTGAAGTTTCATCATTTTTTTTATTTTTTTGAAAATAATATAGTCCATCATTTGGATTATGAACATACTGGGAACTATTGCTGCCTATTACAGCTCCGTTGTGTTTGTATATGTATTTTTATTCGGCAAGTTGACTTTTTTTTATAATCATGTAGTTTTCCGCCAATTTGAATTTCCCGTGAATAAATTGTTTTAATTTATTAAATGAATATTAATTTCGGATATTTTAATTTTGGCGGATGTCGAATATTCTCACGGGAATTCAAATTGGCGGAAAACTACGATTATTATTATCTTTTTTTTTGGGTTAAATTATTATATACTATAATTTTCTCATTTTTATTTCAAAAACTTTTAGGGGGCGATTCAATGAAACCTTGGGGTATTATACATAACGGATGTTGCGGCATCAGAAGATTCAAAGAGCACACCGAAATAAAACTCACACAATTTCTGAATTCGTCTAGCACCAATGCTGATTTAAATACTGATTTAAGTTCTCATTTAGTAAGAATCTCACAGGCAGTCAGAGATTTGGAAGGATTTAGGGATTTCCTTGAAAGTAATGTAATTGACACTTACATGTTAGAAGCCCTTAGAAGTCGGCAACAACAAATTCAAGATCAACAACTGCAACAGGTAGAGATTGAAATCCAACAAAATAATGGATGAATTCTTTACATGAAAATTACATGCATATTATTTATGAATATCATTATTATTAAATTTCTTTGATTCTTTAATTCTTCAATGATTATATAATTGTCATCTTATTATGTGTTTGCATAATCACAATTTTATTCTTAAATACCAGACCTGAGATACTTTGACTCATAAACATGAA